CCCGTTATTTTAATATTTGATATTTAAATTATAAGTTTTGATAGTTCAGTAGTCCGACCTTTCAATTGAACACAGTCGCTGTCAACTATTTCTAAATATTCTCATACGTAAGAACTAGAAACGGTTACAATACAGATGAGCAAAGATATAGATATATTTTTGAGGATTTGTTAGATAAGAAATTTTCATCTTGTAAACCGTTATTTTTGAATGTAATACAATTAGATGGATATAATGAAGAATTAAAATTGGCATACGAATTCCAGAGATCTCAATATTTTTCTGAGAATTCAATGTTTCATAAGTAAGGCAAGATAAATTTAGACTCACAAAAATACTGAGATCAAAAAAAGCAGGATATATGTGCTCAAGAAGGTATAGATCTTATTTTAATACCATATGATACTGATTTATATCTGTTCATTAAAGGTAAATTGCTTAAAAAAGAATATTTAAAAAATACAGATATTAACGAACATAATAATTGATACTGTTTCAGAAGTATAACTAAATAATATCATACTCTGAATTCAATTGTGATGGGATATTTGGATACCTTACTACTGGTGCCAATGGAATATCTTTAAATTTATATTGAAAATGAGTTATGATTTTACTAGTAATGTCATGAGGGATATTTAACAAAACTTTTTCACATTCTTTTCATATTACACATATTAACCATCTGATATATATTAATCAACCTCCTTTACCATTATATCCAGTACGGAGTAAAAAATAAAAATTATCTAACACAATATTGGTTACCATTCTTTGATCTGCAATAATTTTTTGAAATAGTCATTTATCTCTCTCTGTTTCTGGAAAATGAATCTCATCAGGTTTGAAACCTATAAATTTGGAAAGTTGTTCACAAAGTTTAGCCATTTTATATATGCTATGTAATATTCTTCAAGAACTAGGTCTTATAGAATAAAAGTAAAACTTTAAATACTTATCTGGTTCGATTAATTAATATTTTTTCAATATAATAGATTAGTACTACTTAGTTTGAATAAGATGAAAGATAAAGACATGCCCATATATGTATATAATATCAATGAGACATCTAAAAAGTCATCAGAATGAATGAAGGGTAATAAGTATTCGCCAGACTGCCCATTTAGGATGCTTATAAATGGAAGCTCAAATAGCAGAAAAATTAACATGAAAATAAATCTCATGCTTGATGATAAACTACAATGCATGTTCAATGAAAAAAAAGGTGAATGGTATATTAGAAATGATAATCTCAAATTAGTAGCCAAACATTTTGAACCAAAATGGTGACTTGTACAAAGTAGCTATCAGATCTTTGCAAATACTCCAAAATCATATCGAGAAGATATTATATTTAAATGGATATTACCAGATAAGATTCCAGATATAACTAAATTCTCTCCGAAACGAAGTACAGTTATTGTTTTTGAGGATCTATATGCTGAACCCAAAAAAGTGCAAGAACGAATTATTCCTTACTTCATTAGTGGCCAGCATCAAAATGTCTCATCTATATATATATGAGCCAGAAATATACACAAATACCTAAAATTATTTGTGAAAATATTTCACATTTATGTCTATTCAGAGATCGGATAGTAGAGATGATATTAGTAGAATCGTACGTCAATATACAGATGATCCAAAAAAAGCATTCAAGATTATTGATAAGCATTTGCGGGATCGAGAATTCATGATTTTTGATTTTACCAAGGCAGTAGACGATTTACTTGCTATTAGATTGGGTTGAAATACACCCTTAAATCTTATGTGATTTCAGATATTTTAGGAATTTTTCTGCCTCTTGCAATTCTATCTTCTTTTCTTCAACCTCACATTGTAACTTCTTATTTTCATTAACCCGCTTTTCATGCTCTATAGTAATTTCTCGCATAAATTTTTTTTCCTCTCTAGTTTGAAAAAAGAGAAATAGTTATTTTATCTATTAACTATATATTTTTGATACTAGTTTTACCATTACCTGCTAACTATATATTTCTGGCTTTGAGTAATTAATTACGAAAAGGCTGATTTTTTCATTGTATTTCAATAATTGCTAAAATAAAATATTGATCTCTTTCTTAACTTGGTGATTGATCTCATCCTCACATGCGAAGCAAGGACACCTATGTGTCTGATCACATAAACAAATCGGAATAGTATCTTGGGTTTGGGATTCTTAATTAACCATGTCTATATTATACGATAAATTTTCAAGTAATTTTATAGTTTTAATTTGTTTTTTACGCTTTCGATTTAATCCTTTTTTATATATCTCTAATGTATGGCATAAATAATTCTCAATTCGATCGCACTTTTCAGAAATTTGATTTGAGGTAACGGGAAATCTAGAGTGATATAAAAGCCTATGATACACTCTTTTGACCAGACTTTTTGGAAGTTTCGTTATAATGGAGTTGTAATCAGAATGAAACATTGATTATTAGTTTGTGCACAAAAAGTTTGCATGCAAAAAATATGGAATATACATTGATAAAAAATCAAAGTAAAAAATGTTACCAGCCTCAGGAATAATGAAATAAAGTCTAAAGTATTATGCTTCTATTTCTAAAAGTTGCTTTTGAAATCTAGTCTGCAATTGAGCCTTTTTAGATTCTATCCAATTATATGGAATAATATATTCTTCATATTGTCTATTAATAATAGAACTGCGCATTATGGAATTGTTTTTATATAATTCAATCCATTTAGTATACCATTGATTAAATTGTTCTCGAGTCTAAGGATTTTTTACTTGATGTCGAGTTAAACCTAGAAATTTTTCATCATCAGAAGTACCATCATTTTTCATTGCATTCCAAGCTTGGGTTGCTAATGATTCAGGTCTATTCTTATAATTTCGATAAGCTATTTGTATAATTCTTGCTTTTCCAAAATCAGTCTTTGATTTATTACATTCATGATCTCAATGTTTCTGCATCAGATCTTTAGGTTCGAGACAATCAACATACCTCTGTCTAGTAAAATGGAATAATTTTTTAGGATTCACATTATCGATTTTTATGAGTTTCCAGCAACCAAAACAAATAACCATATGACTTTTATGAATCTTTGGTCTGTAGTAATCGAAATTGACAAATTTACCTTTACCAAATGATATAAATAAACAATATTGATGATATATACTAAATTTTTCAGCGGTTAATAAATCTTGTAATGGAATTCTTACTCATATTGCTCATTGAACTGGTGTTTCATTCTATTTTATGATAGACAATGTATCAAATAATCTCTCATTATTAAAGAGTTCATTATATCATTTATCATCAAAAACAAAATAATTTCCAATATATTTTGTGACATATTTCATATCATATTCAGGACAAATGTTAAAAGGTTTGGGTAATGTTCTATTTTTCTTATCGAGAATAATTATAACATCAAAACCAGACATATTTATCGCTTATAGAGAATATTATATTTAGCAGTTTTAGCGTTTTTGACCTATTAGATTTGTTTCTTTATAGTATAAGAATATATGATTCATTTTTTTGTGCATTCAAAATAACTTATATTAAAGGTTCGATAATATATAAAATGGTTGAATTACATGAAAAAATATTCCAATATATTGGCTTTAAACCTGAAGAAATCCGTCTTCCAATCACAGAAGAAGATAAATGTTTTTTTCAGGAATTAATAGCAGATCAGGAAGAGATGATAGATACTGTAATGAATGAGTATCGATTTCTGCAACATTATGAGCATAATTATAAAGGAGATTCCTTAATCCATATAATGTGGGTGTATATATGTACCAAGGGTGATGCTAAGAAAGTGTTGATAGATGTACCTCCATCTAAGATATTATCGAAAAAGGTTTTAGCTCATATTGAAAAAAGATTCGAGGGTTTACCACTTGCACCAGTGATTAAATAACTTGTGTAATCTTACGAAACCACGAATTAAATAACAAATAATTGATAACTTTATTGATAATAATTGTATATTTCAACGTTATTTTTTACTCTACATTACATTGTAAAAGGCTGGCCTTGTAGAGCGTAGCTCATTTCTTTTGCAGTGCAGGACACCTTTAGGCGTCTGAAATAGAATTATTCGTGGAGTAAGGACAAAGAGAGAGAAGCATCTCGAGCCCTAACCCATAGAATGAGAGCTCCTTTCCCTACTTCACACTAGCTATCGTTCTCATCGTCATTATTACTGTTGTCAAAAAAATTATTACTATTACTAGAAAAATTGTTTCTGCTTTCACCGCTAATTACAACAGAGTTATCTTTTTTCTGGTTCTCTCTCTCGATCCAAGTCTCGATTTTGTCTAATGATGTACGTTGTGGAGATTTTTGATGTTGATAGAATTTTGCAAGCGTGGATGGGCTGAGATCTATTTCCTCGGACAGGACATTGTACATTTTCGTGGGAGAACATTTTTCTCTTTTTCTTCTCTCGTTAAATATGGCCGTAAATTCGACCCAGAGTGTTTCAGTTTCAGTAGAATATTTGGACCTGTAACTTTGTATAGATGCTTGCTCTAATTATAGAATGCAGGTATACAAGTAATGAGTTTCGCTCTAAATAAAATATGAGAAGTTACGCTAAATTTTGCAATTATTTTACAAACCACTACTTCGGGCTTCAGATTTCCATTCCGCTTCAGTTTCCATTTGTGCAATTTTGTTTTGCAAAGTCAAAATATCTTGTTTAAGTTTTTGCATAACTGGATCCATCATAATAGGAACTGGGGCTGGAGATGCGTTTTTTCGAATAAATATAAATACAATTGCGAGGATGGTATATACTGTTATATTTCCCTGGACGAGTGTATAAAGCATCTCCATTGTCAAGATGTCCCGGTTGTATGCTTTATAGAGCATGATTATGGCGATAAAGATCGCAAATAAAAAATTATCGGAAATGTTAAGTTGCATTTTCGTAGTTATTTATTTTGCAAATAATAAAGTGTTTAATGATCAATTTAACAACTTGATTTCTTATCCACACCCCATCGGTTTTGTCTTGTTTTATAGATCAAGCGTTAACTTCTGCGGTCGTGGTATTGGTTCTTTAAATCTCGTATTAAATCGAACGGCAATAATACAATCTACGGATTTGTGTATCATAAATCCATGGCATTGGTTCTTTACTGGTGACCAGATTTCATACTAATTAATTAATAGCGATCACAATATACGATTTACCAATCTACCAGTTATCCTTTATATTAACATTTCATGGTATTGGTTCTTTTGTATTTTCACGGGATTCATAGTAATATAATATAACAATCACATGCCTGAAAATCGATTGCATAACATAGATGTTCGATTAGCATATACCATAGAATAAATTAAAAGGTCATGGAACTTCTGTATACATGATGTAATCATGTAACCTGCAATCGATTGCGTATCACAGCAGATGTTTGATCAACACATCATATACTATACCACAGAATAAAATCAAAGATCATGGAACTTTTTATGCATGATATAATCGTGTAATCCATTAATTGTTACAAATCTGATTGTCTAACTCGTGACATATGCAATTTCTTTGTGAAAAGTTTTTTCATTGTGCATATTTACATAGTAAATGCCCATGGGCCTGCATCGCTCCAGTTCCACATTCTCCAAATCTACCATTCCCATACCTAAATGAGACCAGAAATGAGCGGAGGAAACGTTTTAAAAGGGTAGTATATTTATATTGTGGTTGTTCGTCGTTTTTACTTGCGATATAACAAAGCTTTTATTACTTCGAACTCGACTAATCAATATGTCTGCTGATTTACAAACCAAAATTCATAATTTTTTGATAAATGCCGAAGAACGTCATATAAATGCCACCTCCGTTGTTCACCAAGGCTTGGAAGAGAACCCCTGGATTCCGCAAAATGAGTTGAGAACGATTGTAGACTGAGTCGTTGGTTATCTCAGTAATTTGTGTCCGAATGGATCTTTGCGTCAACGAAAGCTTTTTAGAATTCATTCACAGATTAGCTATTGATTTTTTTTTACAAATTATTTCATTATATGATGATATTATGTGGTCCGCTATTAGATTCCAGTACCAAAAGATAGCTCAATTATCCTATTAACCCACTCATGATAAACACTTGTTCACAATAGAGGGATATCTAAGCTATAAACTGTTACGCAGTAATGTAGTTTATCCTAATAACCTATTGATAAGAAAAATTTATCGCCTGTACGGAGGATAATAAGGCTATATTGTTGTGTAGAAATTTAGTACCACACAGAGTTTCATTGGCGTGACGGCCGCACAAAAATGATAACTTTGCATATGTACTGATAATATATACATTTTTTTAATGATGCTTTTTTAGTACTGAAAACTAATGTATATATATTTTTTTAGTTTGAAGATGCTTTCGAGAGGATCTCCATATTGTACGATCTCAAGGTTGTTAAAACAAATAAAGAAAAGCCTCTTAGCTCGGACCAAATCAATAACAATATGGTTGAGCTTAAAGAGAAACTCAAAAGAGATACAGGTTATTTATGTCAACATTTATTATCTGGTGTAAATGAAATATCGATTACGGAACTATCTTGGAAAGACTCTTTGGCCAGTCAGGTGATTAGCGACGAATCTGAAATTGTGAGAAAACTACCAGGAAATTTAAAAAAAGGATTTATGATAAAGAATTATATATATAATTTGGTTATGTTTTATTAACGTTATTTAATGATTTATAATTTGCGTTAGAAACCTGTTCGTAAAATAATGCCTAAACCTATGCCAATGGTCCAAGAAATATGTAGAAAATTTGTACGAGATTTTAAGAGACGTGAAATCGAAATAAAACCAACTGAATTAATACACGACGGAACTTGGAAAGAACGGAAGGAAGATATTGAATGCGTAGTTAAAGAAATTCTTAATGTCTTGAAAGATATTTGGAATAACTCAGCATTCGATCCCAAACTTGCGAAGACATTAAATGAGGGGATGTACCAATCAACTGTCATTGTACCTGTTATTCGAGCTTCATTGAAAAATCTTCCCATATGAGATGCTTTTTTTATTAGTACATCGGAGAAGCAAAGTATCGCAAGTGCTAATAGAAAGGGAGAAGGTTACATGGAGAGACGTTCTGATATTATGCTTGTAGTAAAATATCTGGAGACAGTTTTTGAACTTATGTACGTAGAATGCTCTCAGTTAATTTGTAGCCCACAAAAAAAGACTGACGATGAGATTAAGTTATGACGAGAAACCAATGACAGACTATTTTGGGTACGTCAAAGTCTTAAACCAGATAAAGAACAGTTTGGTATCGTAGGTATGCAGGTGGCAGATAATGTATTACACTTAAATCTTCTCGTTCAAGATATGATTAATGTTCACCGATACTACCATTTACAATCTGCTGAGATTCCTGTACAATTTTCGGATGAAGCTATTGTAACTAAATTTATAGAAACTTTGTTACTTTTACATAATATAGTAATTACTAATTTATCTTTACTATATCATGCGTCTATCTCAGCATCGCAAAGACAAATGGAAGATAGTACTACAGTTTCCACTCCACGAGACGATAACTAGATTTCGTTATATGTACTTTTTATATTTTGTATTTATCCCAATAAAGATGGTCCTGGTGGCTGGATTATTATATACTTTGTGCGATATATGTGATTAGGCATTCGCCAGCCTCCGGCTAAATTTTTCAGATAATCATTACGCATTATTTATCAGGCACATGATCAAGTGTCAAGTCTCGTCGCATGCTGGAAATTAAATCATATGCACGATGTTTGTAGTACACCCAAAATAGATCACACGCACCAAAATAGATCATGTAACAATTATCCCAATATAGAATGACGCATTATCACTTGCCTCATTTTGATTGGGTAATCGTCGTATACATATCCTTACTGAATATCAGCGATTACTTCTCACGCTTCTTTTTTCTGTGAAAGTATATGCTATTCGTCTTGAGTAGGACATCGGCTCTAGGAATTTATTTTTAACGGATCGTCGAATTGCGTTGCTTTTGTCTATTTTTCCCACCTATTAATAAAATACCGTGAACCTTTTTCTTACTTATTCCAATCACGAACTGTTACGATGAACATAACTAATTTGATCAATAAGCGAAAAGAAGAAGTAACATTAGAGAAAACACTACCCATGAAGAAGTTATCGTGACAGGCCCGAGCACGTAGAAACAAAAAACAGAGACGTGAACAAGAACAAATTGAGATATCCCACGAATCAGATAATATAGTTTTCGATCCCAATCGAGTATATATCACTATTTCTTTGTGCTAGACTATTTTTGTATTGATAAGACGCACTTGCCTTAGCTTTTATATGGGTTATGGAACATAATGGAGCCATTAGTCTTCCATGTTCTAGCGACGGTGATTTCGTTTGTTCTGCAAAATATAATCTGGCACTTTGCAAGTCGCTTAGCGATGAGCTTTTTATTTAAGTTTAGTATTTTTTTTATAATCAAGCACTGAATCCAGAAAGCCATCTGTGGTCTATGTACTCAAGATAAGGTCGATTATTTAGAAAATAAATGGATGAGTGTGCCTCTTTTACCCTCAGATCGTAAATCGTCTAAAGAAATAAAAACTCGATCGGGGGTCTCAACTAAAAATTTATTAATCGAGACATTAATCCGTGAAGCGAGGTTGGTTAGCGATACCTCTCTGAAATCATCCTCACACTATGAAACAGAAATTCCTGCATATTTTTTGGGGTTACTTGAAACTGATGTTATTAATATGTCGAAGAATGATAATACTACCATCTCTACTTGTGATGAAGATAAAGAACAATGGATTGCTTTTGGACAGTTTTTAGGATTTAAGAAACTGATCAAAAGAAGAGAGGTACGACGACACCTTAAGAATTAGTGGGGAAAGCTCCAACACGCTCTTGATGTCCAAAATAATAAAGATTTGCAAGCTCTTTCCATGACTACCATTGAACGTAATACCCAAAGAGAAAGGATCCAGTTAATCATATCAGCACGAGATAATTTTTGATCACTTGACGGGTTGGTGGGATTTCGTTTCATTATTGATCCAGAGTGTATTGCTGATATGGATGGCCGAACAATAGTGCATCTTGACCATCTCAATGATCCAACTGCCATGATACGAGCGACGAACGCTATCAATTCTTATTATTTCCACACTTTGAAATGTCCATCGCATAGAAGCAAAAGTTTTTGGAAAAATTTTATTGAGCATTTTGGTGCATTCATGTTAAATAATCTCTTTCCCTATACGAGTTCGAATAGTGCGAGTAGCCATAATATTGATCATCTAAAGTGTGTTAATGAATTGATACGTGGTCTCGAATCATTATCGAATTCTATTAATCATTTTGTTGAGAATTATTATGAAAGTTTGTATGAAAAGCTACGCAAATTGGAATGGGGTGCATTTGCTCCAAGATTCTTCGGCATATTCCCAATGATCGCGATCAATTTCAACACAAGAAGCAATTTTCACTGGGACGAACATGATGATCCGAATTCTTTGTGTTGCTTGGTTGCATTGGGTGATTTCGAAGGTGATGAATTGTGTTTTTCGGAACTTGAAGTAATTATACCACTTAAACCCAATCACGTTGTTGCATTTTCATCACATCTCCTGTTACATGGTAATCTTCCGATCACGAGAGGAATCCATCACAGCATCGTATATTTTGTTCATAGTATGTTCTTCCACCATTTGCGAGATTTTTTGTCTATATACGAAGATCTGGAGACCGGAATTGAAAGAGATACACGTGGGGCGCTTGTTTCTTCGATTCCTCGGCAAGATCTCAACAACGCACAAAATCTGAA